TCCCTTATGTATGGAAATAATTAATTAATAATTTTCTAGTTGATCCGGGTATCGATAGTCGCGACCCTCGATGGGTAGGCGCTTGGTGGATTGGGTTTATTGCAATCGGCACCGGTATACTCATATTTACAGTCCCAATGTTTCTATTTCCCCGAAGTTTTACTAAAAGTGATAATAAAACCAGTGATGCACTCAATGGTAAGGCCATAGCGAGTGGAAGTACTGCTAAAGTGTTTCAAGAAAAACGTAAACATTACATAAAAAATTCATATTTGAGATTAAAAACTAAATCATTTTATTGAACTATAAATTTAGGTATATGGGACCGTACTCTACGCCTGGTCAAAAATCCCCTTTATGTGTGCTATGTATTGGGAACGACTGCCCGACTGTTTGCAGTGCTCGGGTATATGACATTCAAATCCAAATACATTGAGTCCGAGTACAAAACATCGGCGTCTACTGCCAACCTATTTTCCGGTACTCTCTATAAGTTTAAATAATTCATTAAATCCATTCACTCGACCCATTATTTTATGTCTCAATGAATAGGTATAATAGGTGTCGTGCCCACAGCTGCCGGTGTATTCCTGGGAGGGCTGTTCATCCGTAAGTTCCTTCCCGGGCCTCGAGTACTAACAGCTTTCGTAACAATTGTCGAAATGATTGGAGCGATGGGTCTGTTGTCAGCCGTATTCTTGGGTTGCCCTCAGTCCCAGTTCGCGGGAACTACACTCCAGTCACAGTATATATAACTCATCCATAAATAAAAGCCATTTATTTGACATCAATCTTCATATAATACAATAGATTTGAGTTACAGTCCCAGTGCAACTCCCGGTGCCAATGTTCAACCAAATTGTTTCAACCCATCTGCGGTCCCGACAATATAACCAACTATTTCTCGCCCTGTTTTGCCGGCTGTCAGTCACAGTCAATCAATTCAACAGCTAATGTGAGTAGAAATATGATCAGTGTAATTTTGTAAAGTTTGTTTCATATTAGGTATACTCAGACTGCGATTGCTTTGAGGGATCGGCAACCGATGGCTACTGTGACACCGATTGTGGCAATAATTTTCACATTTATATCACACTTTTAGGCATAAGTGGTATAATCGGGTGTTTGGCTAAAACGGGAAACAATATCATATCGTTTCGGTATTAAACGGCACAGAAATCCTAAGTTTTACATAAATTATTTATTTTATGTTTAATCACAGAATCGTACGGAAAGAGGATAAAAGTTTTTCCATTGGATTAATGACTGTTTTCTGGTCTATATTTGGTATAAATTTGTTGTAAAATTAAAATTCTTATTAAAATTAATCCCAATTTATCTGTTGGTGAATAGCATTCATATACCCACTGGTCTACGGAGCGGTAGCCGATGCCTCGTGTTTGATATGGGAGTCCAGTTGCGGACAGGGAGGTCACTGTTGGGCGTACGACACGCCAACATTCCGGCGCCGACTGCACGGCCTAACGCTCGGCCTCTACTTCGTCGGCAGTCTCTTCGACGTAATCGTCATATTCTTGTCCTCAAGAATCAAGAATTTATACGACGATGACATCGATGGCGAGGAATCGGACAGTTTGTCGGACACGACACTCAATACAATCGGTGTGGACAGACATCTCAACCCAAATGATTAGTTACTGTATTTAGAAATTAAAAATATTTTTATTGCAATTTATAATTATATTCTTTTTCGGAAAATCTTTATAACTTAAGTAAAATATATAAAAAAAATTTGTACAAAAATAATACATTAATTTACTAGAGTTACTATGTATTGTTATTTTAAATATTAAATGAATTACTTGCTGGGACATACTTAAACGCCACCCGCCACGTGGCGGGTGGCGTTTAAGTATGTTTGCCCGCCACCAGTGGCGGCCCTAATAACCCGCCCACATACCCGTGGCGGCCCTAATAACAAGACACCATGTCGGTGTCCATTACAGATTGAATACTCCAAAACGGATAATCCAATTATAATCCAATCTTCAATGTTTTATAGCACCTTCTTTGTAGATTGAAAAATAATTTTCAGTGTATAAAAAATACCTTTACCGCTTTTACTTAAATGCGCTATTTAGGTTTGCAAAATAGAAGTTTGTCCATTGGAAATACATTAGATTTTGTCATAGAAAATACATACTGTAGTAACAATATTGGTGTTTGTGAACTTCATTTATTAATAAACTAGTCATGCTAAAATTAATCCATTTAAAGCGACTTTGTAGAATTTGATCCTGACTATTGACCTGAAGAAATTATGTCTCTACACCACGTTTAAGATAATGAATAATCATTGTCTGTACAACAAAAACCATACTAGATAAAATTAATCTGATAACTTGATTTGAAAGATAATTCAAAATGAGCGAGTACCTATTTCAGGAATCTTTAATAAACATTAAATTAAATTTTTTAATTAAAGAATTTAATTTTTAAAACAAATTTTACATGAGTTTACACATTTATAATTGTAATCAATAAGAATTATGATGATAATAAAAAATTCCTAAAATACTTATCAGGGCCGCCACGGGTACGGTGGCGGGATATCAGAGTCGCCACCGACATGGTGGCGGGTTATTAGGGTCGCCACCGCCATGGTGACTAGTTATTAGGGCCGCCACGGGTATGGTGGCGGGTTATTAGGGTCGCCACCGCCATGGTGACTAGTTATTAGGGCCGCCACTGGTGGCGGGCAAACATACTGAAACGCCACCCGCCACGTGGCGTTTAAGGGTATGCCAAGTTTCTCGATAAAGGAGATATGCGATATGTTTACGACTTTATATTCAAATGATGGGTGAATTATGAATTCAAAAGATTTTATACTATATATAAGTTTATATTTTGTGGTTATTATTAATTACTATATATAATATTATGAATGCTTATAATGTATAGAATTAAAAAAAAGTTTAGCTTTAAAATGAATATTTTAGGGAAAAACTGTAAGTTTATATATAAATCAATGTCCAGCACTTGAATTGAATGAATTCATGTTTAGACACAAAATGCATACAATAACTCGTTTTTTAATTACTGTATAATATATTAACCAAAACATTTCAATGAAAGCATTTTATTTTTAGTGTTTAAATATCTGTAACTTAAAATATTTACTAATTAATATTTTGGTATCAAGTATTTGTGTATTCTTGTGATTATATCCAAGTATTTTAAGTTACAGTTATTTAAACAATAAAAATAATTTCATTGAAATGTTGGACATTATATCATACGTTTAAAGGTTTAGTTTTACATTACCATAGATTTATGGCATTATATTTTAGTTATAAATGTTTTTTCACATTTAAAAAACTTGTTACCTAATGCACACTATTAAACAATATCATAAATGCTATAAGTTATTCAAAATTATTTTATTATAGCTTTTATACTGTTTTAAAGAATTCAAAGAAATGAATTTGATATTTCAATAATTATATAATGCTTCACAATATAATCATAATACCCAAATACCCGACCCAGTGATACATGAGCCCAAGATTGCACTCTAGTTTATATGTATGATACTGTATCATTGATACAAATGAATACCAGTTCCGTAAATGGTACTTTCCCGTCAAGCATTGATGAAGTACCGTATTGCTTATAATCTACCGTACAGTCCGGTGATATAGTAAACTCAATTTGTGAACAAAATTCAAAAAGGCCTCAAAACTTTAAAATCTAAATACTAATAGGGAAAATACTACTAGTAGGGAAATATGTATTCACTGAAAGAATGTTCATTTATAATGTAAAGCTGTAATATGGGGTGCGTTACAAAGCAATGCAAACTTACGCACATAATAACTAGTAAGCAGTGCTTTGTAACACACTGTAACNCGGCCCCGTATGATTGCCTATTGCCAAATAGTTGTGGCACTGGGATGCTATTTGGCAGCCCTACCATACTTCATATATGGCCCGGGAGTACACCTATTGAACACTGATGTCAACGGTTTAGTGTTGAATAAAAGTGTCGAGTATTGCGATTCAAACCGACTGGACGGTCATGATTGCGAAGGCCCTACCGGTGCCTCCAATACCGTAGTGTTAGCT